GATCTTGTTACTTTCTCTTTTATTTTCTTTTTCTTTTTCTCATTCTTTTTTTTTCTTCGCATTTTTCTTTCTTTCTCATTTTTTTTCACATTTTTATTTTTCTACTTCTAATTATTTCTTTCACAACCTCTATCAAAATACTTATAAACAAATAAGCATCTATTCTCCCTAATTTGAATACAACTACACAAAGTGATATGAATGCTCCCAAACTAGTTAGGCAAGGAAAAATCCAACACAATATATGGTTGATGGTTCAAGGGCTTAAAAACAAAGTTAGAATCCATGATGAACTACTTACTCATGCATAAGTTCATAGATCAACACCAAGATAAATCCTAATACTAAGGGACAAAGGGGTTAATAAATGCTCACTCGCTCACAAGGTAAGTTACTTTTGATTTGGTGGTTATACTCAAAATCAAACAAAATGCCTTGATTCTTTTCATGTTTTCATACAATCAATACAAATGAAAGATTAAACATAATAAAATCTAGGTAAAATAAGATTTGTTGGTACTCCGTGGATATAGTGAATAATGGAAAGTTTTCTCACATTTGGGGTGGATCTAAATTGATTCAATTCATGAACAAGCAGTGTAAAAGAATAAATGACTTGAAATTTGTAAAAAGCCTAAGTTGCAAAATCATGCTATAGTCTAGAAAGTGATAAAACACATACCTTGAAATGTAACAACGTAAAACTCTTATCATTACCATGCATTTGCAAGTTGAAACGATCAAAATCAGATAATCACCAAAACTCCCTCAAGCTAATAAAAAACAAGCTCTTGGACAAACTCAAAAAGAACACATTAAAACTATCTAATATATATATATATATATATATATATATATATATATATATATATATATATATATATATATATATATATATATATATATATATATATATATATATATATATATATATATATATATATATATATATATATATATATATATATATATATATATATATATATATATATATATATATATATATATATATATATATATATATATATATATATATATATATATATATATATATATATATATATATATATATATATATATATATATATATATATATATATATATATATACAGACACACACACACACAAGAGACATGGTGTAATGAACAAGAAAACAAAAAGTGAATAATTAAGCAGCAGAGCATGCTAAGCGGTCTCAGAGCAGCTCAAAAATTCAAAAACATATTCAATCTTGCTTTCTTAGCCCACTACACCACTCTACCTATACTACTAACAAGGAAAAACAAGAAAGTGAATAAAGCATGCTTGCTTTAAGTCATTATCTTGACGCATGTATATTTGTAAACAATCAATTTGCTTCTCTTTGGATGAGCCAAATGCTTTTGCTTCCGCCTTTGCTCTCATCTCCTCGAGCTCTAACATAAACTATTCATCTAACCACACTTTGGCAAACGTGAAACAAAAAAAGTATATGTATAATATGAAAAAATGTACAAAGCTTAAAAACATAACAACCATTATGATGCAATCAATAAAAATATCAATCCCCAACAACAACGACATTTTGTTGACAACTGCAGTAAATCGGCTCTCAAGCAAAAACTTGAGTAAGTATCTTTTATCGTCTCCATAGGGATTAGTGGTATCGATGCAATTCAATCGTTACTACGTTTCTAAGGTTGTTTGTAAAAGTATATTTAAAGCGAAAGGAAAAATAAATATACAATGGAAAATTAAAGATGTTGGAGAGGGCCGAGAACATGCTAGGATTGGTTTTTGTAACTCGAAAACATGCCTTATATCAGTCATCTATACATAATCTATTTATTCCTTAATAACTTCACATATCAATCACTTCAGCGTTCGTGTCCAACGAGGTTTCAATCATATCGTTTGTGTCCAAAGCAATATGGCAGCATTAAGAATCAATACAAAAGTGAACATTAAGCCTAAAGTTATGTCTAGCGTTCATGATCTAACAAATGCTAAAGCATCAATACCAATTCCTAATAGATTGCGTCTAATGTTGTGACCAATAAACATAAATATACAACATACATATCATACTGATCTATCACGTGTGAACTTCTCAATCATTCACTATTATCATGAATCCCTTTTCAACATCGACTGTGTCTAACTAAATGAAGAGGAATTTACCATAACTAACTCAATCGTGTCCAACCAAGTTTTACGGTAACATTAACAATCAGATACAAATGAATATCAAATCCCACATCCCTGTCCAGAGTATGGTATTCGATAGTCAAAAATATTGGATCATAGGTTTTGAAATGGGTTTGTCAAAAGATTCCAAAAACCTAGGTTTTACATAAACACAAATGAAATCAACAAAATCAAATAATCAATTGGTTCAAATAAAATAGAATCAGAGTAAATATATATGCGTATGAGTTATTACAACCAAAACCAACAAAGAAGAGATCCTAACCACTCATGGTCTCTAACCATAACGAAGGGGAAGTGAAAAGGAGAAGAATCAACCGAGGTGTCCCACCAGGTAACTCAGATCCGACTCTAATCCACAAGAATCAACTTCTATGTTGTTTGTAGCACTTCTCTCTCTCTCCAAAATGTTTCTCATATCCCTCTTGGTTTCCACCATGGAGAAAGATGATGGAATGGCAAAAAAAGTGTGAAAATCTCTAAAATAGAGCTAAAGCCACATTACAACCCTTGAAAGTCCTTGTGATTTGTGCTTTTATGTTTTCAATGTGAGTTTTTTTTAATGAATGCATACTTTAATCTGGATGTTAGTAAGATTGTTGGGTGAGAGTCAAGTCCCTCATGTTTGTTTTTCATCCATTGATGGAGTTGTGTGCTAGGTGCGATTCATATTTGAACATGTATTGTCTTAAAAAAGTTTATATGTGTTTTATGTTTAGAATTTGTTTCATGTTCAAGGTGTCGTTATAGTATAGTGGCAAGCATTACTTTGCTTTTACTTTTGATTTGAAATGTGCATTTGTTTTTGGTTTTCCAAACTTGTTGATCATGAAATGCTTTGAAAGTTGCTCTTGTTTCTTTAATTTGTTAATACTTTTGATTGAGGACAAACAAAGTTTCAAGTTGGGTAGAGTTTGATAAGTGTCAAATATGTCTAAATTTTTGCTTGAAAATTTAGCACTTTTAGAATCCATTTTGCGTTTTCAACCATCGAATTCCCTAAATTTTGATTTGTGTGTAGTTTAATTGTATTTGGTTGTGGTTTACTTAATTTGTTTGTTTTTGTGCAGAAAAGTGTTGAATCAAACCAATTGAAGAAGGCATAATCCAAGATAGAAAACACAAAGCAAAGAAGATGAGTGTCAGCAAGTTCGTTGGGCGAGACCAATTGTAGCATATTCAAGGTTTAACTTTAAACATGCAATTAATCATAAAATTTTAGCATATTTCAAATAGTCATAAGAGCATGGTATTAAGTCATTGTAAGATAGGGCATTGGATAAGCTTTCCAGCACTTCTAACTGTGCGTAAATTGGAGTGACAGTTCTCTAGTTATGGTGAAAGCAAGAACTTATTTTTCTCATTGCTGTCAAATTCACCCCAAGCTCGTCAAGCAAGCTATCAGCGAAAACAGAAAACCATAACCTTTATAAATAGGAGAAGAACATATTTTTTAAGGAGGTGGCTTAGTTTTTCTGCCAAAGAAACTATTTTAGAGTGTGGAAAACTAAGAAAACATAAAGAAAGGGTGCATCTTGAAGATCCGAAGCTGGGTTTGCATCAATAGGCGGAAAATTGTGGTAGATGTTTGTTCTTCTTTATTCTTCTCTTTTTATTTAGTGTCTATGAGTAGCTAATCCCTTTGTTGTTAGGATTGGATGTAAGTTTACCATACTAATATGCATTTTTATTAATCATGGTGTTGTATACAATCTATTTATAATTCAATATCAATGTTATCTTTGATTTCATATTATTCTTTAGATTTGAATTGATGTTGAGAAATAAGGTTCAAATTTTGATCTAAGATGAATATTTGTTAGATTCTAAATGCTAGAGATAGATTTAGGTTTAACATTCACCGAAAGTATCGACTCATAATGTGTCATATTATTTGATAGGCTGAGAGATCGTTGATTAAACAATATGGTAGAACCCGCAAAACCGGTTAGAGATAATCAGGATTGATAATTAATCTCGTCAGATGTTTAGAAATAAACTCTTTTGTGAGCGATACGTGATGATCTTGATGATTGTGTAGATTGTGCACAACTGATTGATAAATTGCATACTCTGTTGGTGGATGAAATCCAATCCTGATAAGTTTTCATATCTCTAAAAATCCATTTGTCATTCGCTTGTTTTAAGTTCTGCAACTTTAAACTTTCAAACCCTTGCAAACTTAAGCTTAAAAATATATTGATTGTTGAACGACATTGATAACACATTAATTTCTGTGGAGACGATAAAACAAATACTTACTTTTGTTTGTGGTTTTTCCACAATATCACTACGGTTACACATTTGTTGTATAATCCAGCATACATACAATCATCCCTTATTTAAAACTCTTTACCTATATCCCTTTTTCAATCATTGTAAAATGAAATGGTATGATTTAAATCTCTTTACCTATAACTCTTTTTTTAAAACTCTTTACCTATAACTCTTTTTTTAAAGCAACGAAACTTTAATTTGTTGATCGTAAAGTCATTTTGTTGCCAAAAAAATATTAGGATTGAAAATGAAATATCCTCAATTTACTTATGTTTCAACATTAAAAGAAGAAAAAGTGAAGCTCAAACATCAAATGTGTTTGAATTTTCAACAATCATCTTTACATGCTTAGACACAATATTGACACATAATATGTATCCATATTTATTTGTGTCTCATACATTATTTAATATTGACACATTGTTTGAGACAATAGATAACATCATCAATCTAAACTTTCATGGTACAAATTATTTTAATAGACATGTCATAAAAAGAGACGAAGAAAACATTAAAAAGAGAAGATAATTAAGGTCTTAAATAACCTCAAGAGCTTGTAAGATATCATCCTTTAAATCTTGGTAGCCTTCAACTCCTACGCAGAAACGAACTGTGTTGTCGTAGATTCTATATTTTTCCCTCTCTGACCTTGGAAGATCCCTATAACAAAATTATTTTAAAAAAAACAATATTAAAATTTCAAATTTAATTAATTAATTGTATTAAGTTAGTTAAACCATGAATTTGAAAAGGATTCAAGCATATACCAATAAGACATAATTGCAGGCTGATTCACAATACTCTCAACACCACCAAAAGATGGTGCAATGTATGGAATTTTTAATGCATCAACAAATTTTATAGTCCTCATTATATCTCCATCAATCTGCATCATTCATTAAAAATACCAAAAATAATTTAACCATTATAATGATAAAAAGTACTTATTATTAATATCTCAATAATCATTTAATTGGATGATTATGAAGAAAAAAATATGATTCTTATAATCGTAGTTATTGACAACAAAAGAACAAACCCTACATCGAAACAGACAACGCCACCAAAACCAGACATTTGCCTCTTAGCGAGAGCATATTCGGGATGACTTGACAATCCCGGATAATAAACTTGTTTCACCTGCAAATAAAATCAAGCAATTGAATGTTTCAAACTTTCAATATAAATCAAATTATTCATTAAGTGAAACTAAAAATAATCAAAATTGTACAATCTTGTACATTTCTTATACCTTAGGATGTGTCTCTAAGAGTTTGGCTAACTTTAATGCTGTTGAATTTTGATGTTGTACACGAAGATGCAAAGTTTTCATACCTCTAATGACTAGGTATGCAGAATTCTGTATAACATAAATATTTATCAATAACATAACAAGTAATTTTACTTGCTCAAATTTGAAATCGAAATTTCATATAAAATATATTCACGATCGAATTATTAGGTTATAACAGCGATATAAAGAGCCTGATCGGGTAGAAATGTATACCGGACTAAGAGTACCGCCCAAAATAAAATGAAAACTTCGAACTTGTGAAATCAATTTCTCTGAACCACTTATGCAACCAGCGAGAACCTGAAAAATAATAGGAAAAAAAGTTATTTATAGTTAATATTATAAATTTTTGAAGGGTGAAATGACTTACATCATGGTGTCCAGCAATGTATTTTGTTGCAGAATTGACAACAAGATCAGCTCCAAGAGAAAGTGCTTTTTGATTAATAGGAGTAGCAAATGTTCCATCAATGCAAACCAAAACTCCTTTTCTATGACAAAGTTCTGAAACCAGCTTAATATCAACACATCTTTGGAATGGATTTGTTGGTGTCTCGGTAAAGAAGAGTGAAACCTAAAATGTATTTATCAATCATCAGTTATAAATTATTTATTATCAAACTATAATTTATCAATTATCAGTCATCGACTATGTAAACTACTAACTAACTTATTAGTTATTAATTATCAACTATAAAGTACCAGTCATCAACGATACACTATACATTATAAAATATCGATCATCCATTATATATGTTATCAACTATTCGTCATTAACTATAAACTATTTACTAATTTATTGACTATCAACTATTTTTTTATTGAACAAAAGCCTCAAATCAATTGCGAAATGAGTTTCTAATTGATTTAGAAATCAATAAGCTTACTTTGTTGTTTTCCAAAGCAGCTTCTAAGGCATCAACATCAGCAGGATCAATTATGGTGGCCTGTTCAATAAAATGAGAATTTATAATATAAGTTTCATTATTAAAATTTCCACAAACAAAATTTAAAAAAATATCATACCGTAATTCCCATTTTAGGAAGCATGTTAGCAATGAATATTCTGGTTCTTCTATAGCAATCAGTAGTAGTTATTATATGTCCTCCAGCTGGAACAAGTGCCAAGAACATGACAGAGCTTGTACACATCCCAGATGCTAGGAACAGGGTCGATTCAGCTCCCTCCAATACACTGTTTTTATTATTAAACAAAAATAAATAAATTTGTAGCATGTTTATGTATAAGCATATATTTAAAATCACCTTTAAAAATATCTATTTAAAATTTAATAAAATAATTCATTTTTAAATAACTTTCATTATTTAAAAAAAATATACAAACTGGTCCACTTCTAGGATTTAATGTTTTTTATTTAAAAAATAAGTTAACAATTATTTTATAAAATAAAATTAAAAATATTTTTTTAAGTAAGTGGGACATTTGTAATGTTGAGAAATAAAATTTGTGTTAAGACAAACCTCATCTTTTCTTCTAAAACTGCTGTTGTTGGATTTCCATATCGTCCATATTCATAACTAAATTGTCTTTTCTCCTGATAAAAAATTCAAAGAATCACAATTATATACAATGTATTTTTTACTCAAACAAAATTTGTTTAAATATTTTATGAAATTAAATAAAAAATTAGTTGAAATGTGTTTCAGAAAGCTTGAGAATTTAAATAATATTTATAAATTATTTATTAAGAAAATTTTAATATTAAACAGTGATGGATATCTGAAATAATGATAAAGAATAAATTTGAAAACGGAAATCAGAATGAAAATGTATATTTCTCTTCCATCCAATCTAATTGACATCTCTACTTATAAATTAATAAATTTAAAAATATATATATAATTCAAAGATTTATATAAAGAAAATTATATAACAAAACATATATTTAATTGATAGGTAATTAAATAATCATTTTGAGACTCTTTGATGAAAATAATGTAACTAATAATTCAAAGAAGAATACCTTCCAATCAATGAGATCAGCAGTTTTCTTAAAAAAGTAGACAGAAGTGTTCACCACAGGAGTAGTGATTGCATCTGTAACAATGCCTCGACCTAATCTCTCAGCTGCGTTATACAAAATAAAATTAAAAAATATTAATCACTTCAAAATATTTGGATTATTGTTTTGCTAAATTTGTCTTGTCAAATTAAAGGAGGTGTGGATAGAAGCTATTTGGATATTGTGTTTTACTTGTACTACGAATATATGGGCCTAATTGGGCCTTGATCTCTTCTTTTAAATATAAACTGTTTTATTATTATAAAGGGGGTTAATGAGTAGCTAATATTATTTTAGCATACTAGAAATACAAAAATAAAAGTATATTCTCTAAATATATCAATGAAATCGTTTCAATTTTTTTTTTAGTTATTGAAGAATATTTCTAAATTTTGTTCATTAAAATGTGTGATAAAGTGAACGGTTAGAATTTGATGGTAAGCTAATGTGTTTGAACGGTTTGAACGGTTGTAGGAAAATCAGCCATTAAAGCCACTAAAAATATAATTGTCAAGCATGGTATAAAAATGTGTTTCGACAATGAACATATTTTTATATTATTTGTATATAATATGTTTGGTTAAATATGTTTTTGTCTTTATAAATATTATAAATTTTAATTTTAACCCTTATAAGAATAATATATTTTAGTTCTATAAAATTTGTATGTATGCAGTTTTAATCCTTATTATTTTTAAAAATTTTGAAAATTGTTTAATTATTTTTAAATTTTTGAATAATTTTTTCATGCATGTGTAAAATACTATAAATTATTTCTTTATCAAAATTTAGAATGTTTAAATGATAAAAAATAAATATAAATTTTTTACATTTCAAAAGATAATGATAAAAATAATGAAAATCTCGACTTAAAACTTACCCATGCATGTCTCTCCGGCGAGACCTGAGAACACGCTGGATGCTGAGGAACATCAGGAAAGTACTACGAAGAGTCCTAAGGAGCTTTCCATACGTAAACCTCCCGATAAAAACCCTAAACCTAGAACCTTTGCGGAGATGGTGATGGGGACTGAGCAAGATGATCATGAGGAGTTGGAGGTTGACGAGGAAGATAAGGAGGATACTGATATGAATGAGATTGAAGGAATGCAGGTTGTTGAGGAGATGATTGGGGGGTATGAGTGTCCAGCGTTTACTTTGACAGAAACTAAGAAGAAACAGATTTATCATCCATGGAAACGGTGTGTGATCGTTAAATTACTTGGTAGGAAGATTGGCTATAAGACCCTGGAATCAAGGTAGAAGCAGATGTGGGTAAGGAATGGTGTTATCAACATAATATATATTGGCAATGACTATTTCTTGGTTTCGTTCTCTCACGAGGAAGACAAAAAAAGCTGTTATTGATGAAGGCCCATGGTTTATTTACGACCATTACCTTACATTTAAGGAATGAAGACCAAATTTTGAACCCTTAAGTGATACCATTGATGGAGTTACAGTTTGGGTTAGGATTTCTGGTGTACCTATTGAATTTTATGATGCTAAGGTGCTAACTGGTGTCAGTAATAGAATTGGCCGTGCAGTAAAGATTGACAAGAACACCATGCAGCATGAAAGAGGAAAGTACGCTCGATTTTGTGTTATGGTTAATCTTTCCAAACCCTTGGTTGTTATGTTTAGTATGGAGGGGAAGAAATATAAAGTGGAATGCGAGGGTTTGCATTTGTTATGTTTGACATGTGAAAGGTATGGTCACTATAAAGAAGGGTGCCCAACAAAACTTGTAAACACTGCAAGAGTTGGTGTGGCTAGAACCGGAGTTGACGAAGCGTTGGCGTTATAACAAAGAGATGAGGAGGTGGGAGACGGACCATGGATGGTTGTGTAGAAGCCAAGGCGGGAGAAAAGAGTTGGTAATGGGAGGAAGAATATAGTTCTAGCAAAGTCTTCTAAAGGTAGAAAAGCAAGATCGTCCTAGTTTAAAGTTATAAGTGATATAGGGGAAGATGGCCAGGAGCCAATTTGTGAGGTCTTGTCTCATGCTAGTGGTGTTGATGCGGGTAACAACCATGCAGAGAATAAAGCAGAAGATAGTCTTGTGGGAGCCAATGTGCAAGATGGCCTTCTTAAGTCCTTGGATAGTATGAGCATTCTTAATCAGGTGGAAAATAACGTTAATGCGCATGGTAGTCACAATAATAATTGAAGGAAGTGGAATTCTGCAGCGCGAAATAAGCAAGGCAATGAGGGTGAGACTCCAATGAATGATCATATACCGGGTGTTAGAGGCATATTGAGCTTTAAGGAGATGAGTGGAACGAGTAAAAAGGGGAATACGGAAGCATGGCAGGAGGATATTGTGGGGAAGAAACTGGAGAATATTCAAGTGGAGCAATTGCGAAATGAGATGATAACAATGGTTGATGATGTGAGGACATGGAGTGAGGAGCATGGTGAGAATGCTAGGAGTACACTAACTTGCACTCAGTTTACCTTTGGCACACGACCACTTGACAAAGGTTTAGAAATCGAGGATGCAATGCATGAAGATACTAATACACACAAGGTAGTTGATTTAACTGGTACTGATAATACCAGTTCAGCAGATACATAAGAATTCTCTCTAGGGGTACATGATAGTGTGGAGGTTGTTGCTGAGACTCAGTGATAATCTGCTAGTGTGTTGCCAAGTGTCTCAGGCTGATCTTATGCATTTGGTTTTTATTGTTAGAACAAGATTTGGTTCTGCAATTTTATCTGAGTTTCGATGACAAAAAAATGAGTATGTTTGTATGAACAATTTTGGTACTCTAATGTTTGTTATTTTGAGTGTTTAACAAACGAGTTCTGCTTCTGATGAAAGGAGTTGCCAAGACATTAGAAGCGAATAAGTTTTGCTCCTAGCTACACAAGTTCTGATGAACAGTAGCAAAAGCTTCAGAAGACACTGAAGTTGTGACTCTGATACAAGTCTAACAAACCAAGTTCTGAAGATCTGAAGACAGAAGTTCTAACTGAAGTCCAGATGCTGAAGACTTATATTTCTGAGGACAAAGGGTTCTCAAGACCAAGTGCTAAAGATTCTGATAGACGAAGTTGTGAAGATTCTGAAGACTTGAAGTTATGGTGACCCAAGGTTCAACAAAGGGTTCTAAAGACTAAGTGTTGAAGATTCTGAAGACACAATTCTGAAGACTCTGAAGACTTGAAGTTCTGAAGACCCAAGTGTTATTCTCATTCTTCCAACGCATGCTCAGAAGCCTCTGACGTCAGAAGAAAAAGAGGATAAGATTGTATGGTACAAAAAGTACATGGTACAAACAAATCATTTCATCCCACTACCATGAAGGACGGGCGTTCCGTATGATCTTGTCTCCCACGTGATTATTCAATCTGCCACCTTTCTGAAAGTTCCAAAAATATCCTTAAAGGTTATAATATTTTATTGGCTATAAAAGGGCTTGAAGACTATGAGAGAAGGATGTTAATTCATGTTCTCCAAAGACTGTTCATACGCTTTCATTTCTCTAGTCTATTTTTGTTGAAAAATTGTTTACATATCAGCTTGTGTAGAAGCATATCTTTTGTAAGCAAACTTTGTTCAAACAGTTGTTTGATTTTTCCTTAAGGGACCAGTTGGTCAGAATCCTTGAGAAGTCTAAGATTAGTGTGTTTTAGAAGTTGTAATATTAGTCACTTGCAGTTAGCTTGTGCATTATAATAATTTGTTTGATTATTGGATTAAGTCCTGGTTGAGAATGTTAATCAGGAAATAATCAAACACATTTATTGTGAATAATTTACATTCATAGAATAGGAAATTTCCATTATAAGTTGTAATTAGTTATTATGAGTTGTAATTAGTCATTATGAGTTGTAATTACCGACACTATTATATATAGTATCAAATGCAATGAAAAAGGCATCAAGCCAGAATTCATGACATGGTATCAGAAGGGTTCGATCTAACCTGTGAATCCTTGTTCTCTTGGCTGAATAGCGACACCCCACTGGGTCGCTCTTGAAATCGTGTTTCTTGTTTGTATTTCTCGAAATCTGAAATCTTTCAATTGCCGTTTCGTGATTTCTTCATTGTTGTTGCTTCGTGATCTTGATTCCGTGTTTATCGCACGTTGTTTCGGTGATCGTTAATCATTTGGTGCTGCTAACATATTGTGCTTTGCGATTCCGTTTCGTATTCTCGGCGATTCCGCTTGGTGATCGTTGTTCTTGGTGATTCTGTTCCGTGATCGTGGTTTCATTGTTGAATTGTTGGCGATTTCTAGATCGTGGGTGTTTCTTCACCGTTCGTTAGCTACTGTGTGGTTTCCTGGTTTAGCTACCGCGTGGTTTCCTGGTTTGCTTCCCATTGTTTTACTATTTATTTAATTGTTATTATTAAATAAATTGGTTGCACGTGCACACTGGGTTTGGATTTATACTGTTTATTTAACAATACAAAGGGGTTATATCTAATGGCAATGGAAAATGAAAAGAATTTTTGTGTCCGTTTTACCGGCAAGAATTATTCTGCATGGGAATTTCAGTTCAAGATGTATGTTTGGAAAGGGATTATGGAGTCATTTAGATGGTGTTTCTAAGGCACCGACGGAGAAAACTGGTTTAGATGCGTGGGAAACTAAAGATGCTCAAATCATTACTTGGATTCTCAACAGTATTGATCCTCACATGATCAATAACTTACGCTCTTTTTCAACTGCTCAAGAAATATGGAATTATCTAAAGCGCATTTACAACCAGGGCAATTCGGCAAAACATTTTCAGTTGGAGTTAGAAATAGCCAACTACAAACAAGGTGATTTGTCTATTCAAGAATACTATTCTGGTTTTTTAAATCTCTGGGCAGAACACTCTGCTATTATACATGCTAATGTTCTCAAGACCTCTCTCGCGGCTGTTCAAGAGGTTTACAACACAAGTGGTCGAGATCAATTTCTCATGAAATTACGCCCAGAATTTGAGGTTGTCAGAGGTGCCTTGCTGAATAGGAATCCTGTTCCTTCTTTAGATACATGTGTTGGAGAACTCCTAAGGGAGGAACAACGTCTTATTACTCAAGGAGCCATGTCTCATGATGCTACCATTTCCGAGCCCGTGATGGTTGCATATGCTGCTCAAAGTAAAGGTAAAAATCGTGATATGAAACAGGTTCAGTGCTTCTCTTGCAAACAATTTGGTCATATTGCTCGTAGCTGCAATAAGAAGTTTTGTAATTACTGCAAGCAACATGGTCATATTATCTCTGAGTGTCCCACACGTCCTCCACGACCAACACAACGTTCAATACAGGCATTCCATGCAAATCATGCGGTTGGTCCTTCCACTAATGGGGCATCAAACGATAGTGCTATACAACCTGAATTGATTCAACAAATGGTACTTTCCGCTCTCTCGGCCTTGGGAATTCAGGGTAAGTCTTCTAATGTTTCTCGCCCATGGTTTCTTGATTCGGGTGTATCCAATCACATGACAGGTTCTTCAGAGTATTTGAACAATTTACACTCTTATCATGGTAATCAGAAAATTCAAATAGCTGATGGTAATACTTTATCTATTACGGATATTGGCGACATCAACTCTGATTTTCGGGATGTGCTTGTATCACCTGGACTTGCGTCTAATTTATTATCTGTTGGTCAATTGGTAGATAAAAATTATGATGTTAACTTTTCTCGTGATGGTTGTCTTGTGCAGGAACAGGTGTCGGAGAGAGTGATCGCGAAGGGGCCTAAAGTGGGAAGACTGTTTCCACTCCAGTTTATTTCTAATCATATATCTCTTGCTTGTAATAATGTTTTGAACTCTTATGAGGATTGGCATAGAAAATTAGGTCATCCAAACTCTGTTGTTTTGTCCCATTTACTTAAAAATGGTTTGTTGGGAAATAAAAATGTTTCTAATGCCTCTATTTCATGTTCTGTTTGCAAATTAGCTAAGAGTAAAACACTTCCTTTTCCATCTGGTGCTTATCGTGCTTCCACTTGTTTTGAAATGATTCATAGTGATGTATGGGGTATATCTCTTGTAGTTTCTCATTCTCACTATAAATATTTTGTCACATTTATTGATGATTATAGTCGTTTTGTTTGGATATATTTCCTTCGGTCTAAATCTGAAGTGTTTTCTGTGTTTAAGAAATTTTTAACATATGTTGAAACTCAATTTCAAGCAAGTGTTAAAAAATTTCGCTCTGACTCTGGTGGTGAGTACATGTCTCATAAGTTTCAGGAATACCTTCAACAAAAAGGCATCTTGTCGCAACGATCTTGTCCCAATACCCCTCAACAAAATGGTATTCCAGAACGGAAGAATCGTCATTTGCTTGATGTAACGCGCACATTGCTTCTCCAAGCTTCAGTACCATCCCGATTTTGGGTAGAAGCTCTTTCCACAGCTGTCTTCTTGATCAATCGTCTTCCTTCTATGGTTATTGAACTTGATTCTCCTTTCTTTCGTCTTTTTAAAATTCATCCTGATTATAGTGCTTTACATACTTTTGGGTGTGTGTGTTTTGTTCACTTACCTCCTTTTGAAAGGCATAAGCTTGGAGCACAATCAGTTCAATGTGCATTTATGGGATATAGTCACTCTCATAAGGGATTTGTGTGTTATGATGTCACTAACCATCGTTTTCGCATTTCTAGAAATGTGACATTTTTTGATAATCAGTTTATGTTTTCCTGTGTTTCTCCTGCCATTAATGATATTGTTACTCTTCTTAAGTTTTCTATTATGCCTCAATCTATAGAACGTTATAAATCAGGTCATGTATATGTCAGAAAACACAGACAGCAGGTTCCCACACCCCTTCCCGATGCTGAACCGCCACCTGATCCTGTACCGGTTGAACCATGGCGTTCTGGTCGAATATCTCGTGCACCAGATAGATATTCACCAGACAGGTAAGATTCCTCACATACTTCTCTGACTGCCACACTCTCTAGCATATCTATTCCTACTTGTTACTCACAGGCTGTTAAGGATGTGCGATGGATAAAAGCAATGAATGAAGAGCTTCAAGCTCTTCAAGAGAATTTCACATGGGATATTGTCTCTTGCCCTCCCGATGTAAAACCTATAGGTTGCAAATGGGTGTATTCTGTGAAATTAAATTCTGATGGGTCCCTCAACCGTTACAAGGCTCGTTTGGTTGCGTTAGGAAACAAGCAGGAATATGGAATTGATTATGATGAGACATTTGCACCGGTTGCCAAAATGACAACTGTCCGCACGATCATCTCTATAGCTACTTCTAGTGGTTGGACTCTTCATCAAATGGATGTGAAGAATGCTTTTCTTCATGGTGACCTGAGAGAAGATATTTATATGACTCCACCTCAAGGCTTATTCTCGTCATCTAAAGGCGTGTGTAAGCTCAAACGCTCCTTATATGGTTTGAAACAGGCACCTAGAGCATGGTACGAGAAATTCCGCTCCACTCTACTTGGATTCTCCTTTATTCAGAGTCAGTATGATTCATCTTTATTTATTCATAGCACATCTACGGGTATTGTTCTGCTTCTTTTGTATGTTGATGATATGGTTATTACTGGTTCAGATCATGCTTCCATTCAGCGACTTAAGCAACAGTTA